ACCACCACCACCACCACCACCACCACCACCTCTGCCAACTTCAGAACCATGTCTTCGTCTGCCAACCTCGCCGGTGTCGTCGTGGGTGTCGACACCAACGGCGCCTCCACCGCCAAGAACGTCGATGTCTCGGCGCAGTGGAAGGCTTCGCGTGCGTCGTCGTCGCGCGCCAACGAGCTCCGCGTCTTCTACCCGGACAACAGCGCCCCCGTCGCCGCCGTCTCGCTCGGCGAGCAGAAGGCCGCACCTGCCACCACCCCGGACCTCCTGCCCTCGGAGAAGACGTACCTGCGCAACGAGCAGCTCGAGCGCGTCCGCCTCGCCGCCGCCAAGGGTGTCAAGGCCATCCGCGATCTCGGCGCTGGTCCCGAGGACAAGGGCAACGCGCCCGTCGAGAGGACCGTGGCGCTCGACTCGATGCAAAGCCCTCACGCCGCCGCCGTCGGTGCCAACCTCGGCCTGTGGACCGTGAACCACTTCAAGACGCGCGGCAAGAACGCTGCGCACGGCAAGGACGCCGTTGTCCAGGGCGGCAAGGAGATCAAGGTCGTCCCTGTCGAGGGCGCTGCCGATGACTCGGCCAAGAAGCAGCTCAAGGATGCTGGCGACGAGGTGGCCGGCGTGGCGCCGCTGAGCTGGTTCACAGGTGAGGTGTACGCCGAGGCCCAGAACTGGGCGCGCGAGCTCAAGGAGACGCCCGCCAACCTCATGACGCCCACCATCTTTGGCCAGCGCGTCACGGCGGCGTTCAAGAACGTGCCCAACACCCAGGTGATCGTGCACGACGAGGCGTGGGCGCGCGAGCAGCGCATGAACTCGTTTCTCTCGGTCGCCGCCGGCACCGACGAGCCCGCCAAGTTTGTCGAGATCATCTACAAGGGTGCTCCGGACAACGACGCGCCGCCCGTCGCCTACGTCGGCAAGGGTATCGTGTTCGACTCGGGAGGAATCAGCCTCAAGCCCGGCGCGGGCATGAAGGCCATGCGTGCCGACATGGGCGGCGCCGCTGCCGTCGTTGCCACCACGCTTGCCATCGCCAAGCTGGGTCTGCCCATCAACGTCGTGTGTGCTACGCCGCTCACCGAGAACATGCCCTCGGGCAAGGCGACCAAGCCGGGTGACATTATCATCGCACGCAACGGCCTCTCCATCGAGGTGGACAACACCGACGCCGAGGGCCGCCTCGTGCTCGCCGATGCGCTCACCTACGTCTCGGAGATCTACAAGCCCCACACGCTCGTGGACGTCGCCACGCTCACCGGCGCCTGCATGATCGCGGTGGGTGATGTCTACTCCGCCACCTTCACCGAGTCCGACAGCCTGTGGAACGAGCTGCGCATTGCCGGTGAGGCCGAGAACGACCTCTTCTGGCGCCTGCCCCTCAGCGACGCCTACCTCAAACAGATCTCGACGAGCAACGCCGACCTGTGCAACACCGGCGGCCGTCTCGCTGGCGCCTCCACTGCGGCCATCTTCCTCAAGCAGTTCGTCGTCGGCCTCGGCGAGCGCGGCGGCGCGGCTCCCAGCCTGCGCTACGCCCACCTCGACATTGCCGGCAGCATGGAGGCAACTCCCACCACGACGACCGACTACCAGCCCAAGGGCTTCACCGGCCGTCCCGTGCGTGCCCTCGTCGAGTTCGCCCGCCGCATCGCTGCCAGCCAGTGAGTTTTGTGCGCGGTGAAGAATGCGAAGAGTTCCTGCAAAAGTGTCTGCAGACGCATGCGCGTGATCTTACGATGAGCGTTGTGTTGAGACGGTGAGAGGGCGTGACTGTAGCGAGAGCACTGCGAGGGTGTCGGTTGGCAGGTTTCTCGGAACGCGGCAAAGTGGGGCCGTGTGGAGGTTTTGCTGCGCAGTGCAGGTGCAGTGCGCCGTGTGGGGAGAGCGTGATCGAGGCGTGCGTGTCCGTGCGCTGTGCGCAGCGTGGAATTCCAGGGTCTGCCTTCTAGCTGGCTTGCCTTGCTTCCACATCCACACACAACTTCCTTCTCGACGCGAGACGCTCAGCTGCCAGCAGCGCTGAAGAGAATTCAACGTCAAACACAAAACAGCGTGACGAGGCGACGCATCGCAGCATGGCGGCGACATACAAGCTTTCAGCTACTCTCGAGCAGCATGGTGCCGACGTAAGTAGCCGCGCTGCTTGGTATTCTTTCTTCCGGTCTTTCGGGCATGCAGCTGACGATTCTTCCCTCCCTCCCTTCGTGTTGTGCGACTGCAGGTGCGATGCGTGTCGGCGAGCTCGGCCGAGACGAGCAAGGACTGCCGCGGCGACATTGTGCTGACAGGATCGCGCGACCGCCGCGCGATCGTGTGGCACCGCTCCTCGTCCAACCGCTTCACCGCTGCGGCTGAGCTGGGCAACCACGACGGCTTTGTCAACGCATGCGCGCTCCTGCGCTCCGACGCCTCGTACGCCATCACCGCCGGCCAGGACAAGATCATCTATGCGTATCAACTGCTCACCGCCGACGGCCAGGTGAGCGTTCAGCTGGACAGCAAGTCGAGCGAGCCACAGCCCACGCGCACGCTCATCGGGCACGAAGACAACGTGTGCGCGCTCGATGTGGGTCCGCACGGACAGTACATTGTGAGCGGCAGCTGGGACAAGACCGCCAAGGTGTGGCGCAACTGGGAGTGCGTCGCCACGTTCAAGGGCCATCAGCAGTCGGTGTGGGCGGTGCTCGCCGTCGACCACGACCGCGTGCTCACGGCGTCGGCAGACAAGACCATCCGGCTGTGGTCGATCGCGCAGCCGGCCAAGCCGC